AAAAAAGCAGATAAGCTTTATTCTCATTTCTGAAAAGTTGTAACCACAGCTTTGGCGTTGGGTCACATTATAGTCATGGTCTGGGCGTTAGACCAGATATGGCGTGACAGATAAAGCAGAAGAGTGAAAATGCAAACTTCATATAAATAATTGTTGAGTTAAGGTAAAAATAATGTACATGTATTTGATTGGATGGTCTGAGGGTGTGTTTGCCCAAAGACTACAGTATAAAAACCCTGATGTTATGCCAATAAAACTGATGTGTTTGCAATCGCAACTGAGGTGACTTGAGTGCATTTACTTTCCAAGATCTCCTAGCTGTGTCCAGGTGTGACCATTGGTATCCTGAGGGGGCCCCCAAAGAACAGGAAAAGGACCACCTACCTACTTGCACCGCTACTTCTGGTTTCTCCGGCAATCAATTTACTTTCCTCTTCATCTGCTCTCAGGAAACAATAAACTGCATTTTTCTTCTAGTAATCTACAGACCACCTGTAGGAAAAAAGGAATATTTAAATATAAGATCGCACACTCATCCCCATGTCATGTAATAAAAACTTAGGATTTTCTTATATAAATGTTAATAAAGTGATTTATTAAAGAATGCTCTGCAACAATTTGCCTAATTAATACCCTGCAGATGTTAATCTGCAAGTAAACATCAAAAACACAATTAGTTGGAAAAGGTGACACTGTTTTTTCATATGTTCACACGTTTTGAAAATGTTCTTTATTACATAGTTAAGGCGACCATAGATGGTTCGAATCTCGGACAGCCTATGACCTACCTTAGTAATGTTGAAAAAGGACCAAATCCCATCCAGTTTAACCAATAATCTTGGACCTAAATAATAAGGACCTAAATAATAAGGACCTAAATAATAGCTAAATAATAAAACAGTGCTTCCCAAAACAATGCATTTTAGGTCAGAATTAGAGATGAGCGAATCGAACATGGCGAAGTGGAATTCGTTTCGAAGATCAGGAAAAATTCGATTCGCGCTGAATCCGAAAATTAGCAAACTTCGGATGCACGAATCGAATTTTCCCAAAAATGGCGGCGACATGTGTGGCGACGGAGCGGGGATCTCTGGGAAGGCGCGCAGACAAGGCGCGCTGACCCATAATGCATTCATTCATGACATGTGATCGCATTAGCCAATCAGCAGCCAGCCAGCCAGCACTGTGTAATGGTGGAGCTATAAATTGCGGCCATCTTAGAATTCTCCATTAGCCTCCGGTCATTCAAGAGAGACAGACCTGTCTGTATTAGGGACAGAGTTAGGGCCACAGAGAATTTAGGGCCACAGAATCGTTACTTAGGGACACAGAATCGTTACTCAGGGACACAGAATTGTTACTCTGGGACACAGAACTGTTACTCATGGACACAGAATCGTTACTCAGGGACAGACACAGAATTGTTACTCAGGGACACAGAATTGTTACTGAGGGACAAAGAATCGTTACTCAGGGACACAGAATTGTTACTCAGGGACACAGAATCGTTACTCAGGGACACAGAATTGTTTCTCAGGGACACAGAATTGTTACTCAGGGACAGACACAGAATTGTTACTCAGGGACACAGAATTGTTACTCAGGGACACAGAATTGTTACTGAGGGACACAGAATCGTTACTCAGGGACACAGAATTGTTACTCAGGGACACAGAATTGTTACTCAGGGACAGACACAGAATTGTTACTCAGGGACAGACACAGAATTGTTACTCAGGGACACAGAATTGTTACTCAGGGACACAGAATTATTACTGAGGGACACAGAATCGTTACTCAGGGACACAGAATTGTTACTCAGGGACACAGAATTGTTACTCAGGGACACAGAATTGTTACTGAGGGACACAGAATCGTTACTCAGGGACACAGAAATGTTACTGAGGGACACAGAATTGTTACTGAGGGACACAGAATCGTTACTCAGGGACACAGAATCGTTACTCAGGGACACAGAATCGTTATTCAGGGACACAGAATCGTTATTCAGGGACACAGAATTGTTACTCAGGGACACAGAATTGTTACTCAGGGACACAGAATCGTTACTGAGGGACACAGAATCGTTACTGAGGGACACAGAATTGTTACTCAGGGACACAGAATTGTTACTGAGGGACACAGAATCGTTACTCAGGGACACAGAATCGTTACTCAGGGACACAGAATTGTTACTCAGGGACACAGAATCGTTACTCAGGGACACAGAATTGTTACTCAGGGACACAGAATTGTTACTGAGGGACACAGAATTGTTACTGAGGGACACAGAATCGTTACTGAGGGACACAGAATTGTTACTCAGGGAAACAGAATTGTTACTCAGGGACACAGAATCGTTACTCAGGGACACAGAATCGTTGAATTAAAGAGTATGTCAGACAACACGCAGAGGAGTGGCAGAGGAGGCAATGTTTCAGGAGCGAGATGACGTGGCAGCAGAGGAAGGGGTCGAGGCAGCACTAGTCGCAGCCAGAGGCCAGTGCTCCCGGTGTCATCCAGCGGTCGTGTCTCCACCGACAACCCTGCCGTCATCGATTGGTTGACTCGGTCGTCTTCCTCTTCCCAGGTCACCTCTGACACCTACAGCCAACGGTCGGTGGGTACGTCAGACACAACCGTTAGTTGGCATGGCCCGGGAGCAAGCCCACACTGAAATCACGTGTCCTCTACCTGCCCCTGTCCTTTGGTGTTCCCTCACCAAGCGAAGTATCGCATGCTGTGGGCTCAGCCCCACTGTACAGTGAGGAAGAGCTAACAGAGGGCGGTCAGGAACGGGGGGAGACATCCGCCTCTTCAGCAGCCAGGCGAAGAAGTAGTGGCGAGGAGAGTGGCTCGGTAGCCGGTCTAGAGACAGGTCTGTCTCCTGACCCACGCGCAGCCGAGGGGGCTAGTAGTGAGGAGGAGACCCTAATTGATGATGATGAGGCTGATCGCACTTGGCAGCCTCGTCGTCATCAGGCTATTGCTTCCGCATCATCAGGAGAAGAGGGTGGCAGCTTGGCAGCGAGCAAAACAGTCGGTGGGTTGCCCAGAAGGCAGCAGGGTCGCAGCAGTGTCAGTGGAGGCAAACGGCCACGGAGTAGAGCACCAGCTCCACTGCAGCCTACCACCACGGCCAGTAGTGGTGCCGGTGTGCACGGAGGAAGTAGCAGTCAGCCAGTGAGGAGTAGCGGGGGCAAAGTTTCCTACTCGGCGGTGTGGCAATTTTTCGTCAAGCCGCCTGAGGAAGTAAACGTAGCCGTATGTCGACTATGTGGCCTGAAAGTCAAGCGTGGCCAGGGGGCCCATGTTGGGACTACAGCGTTGCGTCAGCATATGCAGCGTCGCCATTCGGTGGCCTGGGAAAACCGTGATAAAGATACGGCGGTACTGCCTGCCCCAGCCCCCGCTCCATCACCCGCTCCGTTACTTGCTCCGTCACCCAACATCAATCGCCCTCTATCAGCCAGTCAAGGCTCCAACACCTCTGCTGAGGGGAGTTGTCGCTCATTGGCATCTTCTGCTCGTTCAGATGCTCCTTCTCCTGCTACTCCTCTTCACGGATTCCGTCAGCAGTCTTTCTTGGAATCCATTTCCAAGAGACAACAGTTTGCGAGCACGCACCCGACGGTGCAGAAGCTGAACGTCCTCCTGTCCAAGTTGCTGGTGCTGCAGTCCCTCCCTTTCCAAGTGGTGGACTCAGCACCTTTCCGAGAAATGATGGCTTGTGCCGAGCAGCGGTGGAGAGTGCCAAGCCGGCATTTCTTCGCTAAAAAGGCAGTGCCAGCCCTGCATTCACATGTAGAAGAGATGGTGGGCCAGTCTTTGAGCATGTCGGTCTCTGCCAAAGTGCACGGCAGCGCCGACGTGTGGAGCTGTAACTACGGTCAGGGACAGTACATGTCATTTACGGCCCACTGGGTGAACGTGGTGCCGGCACAGCCGCACCAGCAACTTGGACAGGTCACGCCGCTTTTGCCTCCACGTTTGCACGTCCTTGGTCCAGCAAAGATGTCCGCCTCTACCACCTCTTCTTCCGCCGTGTCCTCAGCCGCCACCCCCGTGCCAAGTCCCATTACCCGACCGGCATATCACATGTGCAGGGCGCAACGGTGTCACGCTGTGCTGCACCTGGTATGCCTTGGCGAACGTAGTCACACAGGGGAGGAACTTCTGAGTGTAATGAACAGAGAAATCGACAGATGGCTGTCTCCGTGCAAACTGAAAATCAGAACCATGTTGACCGACAACGGAAAGAACATGGTGTCTGCTCTGCGTCAAGGAAGGTTGTGCCATGCGCCATGCATGGCTCACGTGTTCAATCTGGTTGTCAAGCGGTTCCTAAAATCCACCATCCCACTGCAAGACATCCTTAAAATGTCACGTAAACTTTGCATGCATTTCAGCCATTCCTACACCGCAAAGCACACCCTCCTTGAGCTGCAGCGGCAGAACGGAATTCCACAGCATCGCCTGATCTGCGACGTTGCAACAAGGTGGAATTCAACCCTACATATGTTAGACCGCCTTTACGAACAGCGAAAGGCCATCACCGATTTCCTGATGTTACAAGCGGATAAAGGTACTCCCCTGTGTAACTTCGATGTCAGCCATTGGCAGCTCATGCGTGACACCTGCCGCTTGCTCAGGCCCTTTGAGGAGGCCACGCTATTCGTGAGTCGGCAGGACTATAGGATGAACGACGTCATTCCTCTGTTGCACGTCCTGGAACAAATGCTGTTAACAATGGCTGGTCAGGGTGCGGTAGACGTGGCGCACAGATCTCAACGCCACATGACCCCTGTGGGGGCAGGACAGGAAGAAGAGGAGGAGGTAGAGGAGGACATTGGTGCTCAGGAATTATTGAGTGAAATGGGTGGTTTTTCCACTCAGCGGACAGGAGTGGAGGAGCAGGAGCATCTGGTAGAGGAGGAGGAGGAGACAGAGGACCCAGACGCACCGTGGCAGTATGCTGTGGAGATGGAGGCAGGGAGTCCTGTACCGCCTCCTCATGCTGCTGCCAGGTCCAGAGTGTGTCATGGGTCCCTGTACAGCCTCCCATTGCTGCTGTCTCCATCGCCACACTCTGCCATGTGCCACTTTCAGGTCTCCTCACACTGCTGGTGGGTTCCATTTTGTCATAGGGTGCTGGCAGATTACGGGCCTCCCATTGCTGCTGCCAGGCCCGTAATCTGCCATGGGCCCCCGTACCGACTCCTCATGCTGCTGCCAGGCCCGTAATCTGTCATGGGCCCCTATACCGCCTCCTAATGCTGCTGCCAGGTCCAGAGTGTGTCATGGGTCCCTGTACGGCCTCCCATTGCTGCTGTCTCCATCGCCACACTCTGCCATGTGCCACTTTCAGGTCTCATCACACTGCTGGTGGGTTCCATTTTTTCATAGGGTGCTGTATGGCCTCCCATTGCTGCTGCCTCCACTGCCACACTGTGGCTCCACACTCTGGTTTTGGCCCCGTGACTGCCCAAATGAGTGAAGTGTGCGGTGATTCTAAGATCGACGGCACTCATCTGCATGTCATACTGACTGACAGTATTATTTCTCTTCCCCAGCAGACTCCCAAGGGCATTTAAATTAAAGGTACAGTGTTCTGCACTAATATAAAGGCTCTCTGAAGCCTAGAAACACCCTTTTTATATAAGTTAAATTCGCAGCGAAATATATTCGACTCGAATCAAATTTATTCCACGAATTCGCCGAATCAGCCGAATCGAATTTTTGAATAATTCGCTCATCTCTAGTCAGAATCCTCACCCTTGACAACTGTGATGCAATGAAAACAGTTCTCCACAAACTTGAATAAATACGATATTGCTATATGTGAAATGTCTCCTACAAACATTTATATTGTTTTGATTTTAGTGTCATAGCAAAGACATACTAATACCTGCTGCAAACATTTGTAGTAATTTAGCAGAAAAACAAATCAAACTTAACATGACAACACAATATGGATCATGGAAGTACAAGAAAGCAATGCCAATGTGGAAGTTAGGAAGGTTAGGACAAGAAACTTTAGTAGAAATCACCAACTGTGAATGTTTCACAGGCAAGGGCTTGTTCCACTTTCATCCCCTACATCACCAAGGAATAACTCATAAAAGTAAATTGCAAGCATAGCATGAACTCCATGCCATGCAGAGGACCAGAACGTCCTGAAAGAATGATTTTTATAAGTATCTAGAGAAAAGCTTGTGAAAAAATTGATGGGAAGTACACAAAAAAAAACTTTTCTCCATATATTAATAATACTTTCCTCCTCAAATGCATGGCATTTATATTTGATGAAGGAATATGTATTATATGTTTACTGAGTACTTTCACCACTATAGCTGTTATTCTTTTTTTTTTTTTTTTGGTTGTTACAGTATAAACATTAGAATTTACAATATTTTTTTTTCTTTATTTATGCTGAAATTTGGAACATTCAGCTTCAGATTCTTTAGGCTTTTTTTATTGGCATTAGTTGAGGAGATAGTATTCTCTTAACTGGGCACTAATTCATAGCTAGAGTAGTTATTCACATTTTTTAACCACTTGCCTACCAGGCCCTTCGTGCTCAGGCCAATTTTCAGCTTTCAGCACTGTTGCACTTTGACAATTGCACGGTAATGCAACACTGTACCCATATGACATGTTTAGCATTTTTTTCGCACAAATAGAGCCTTTTTTTGGTGGTATTTACTTGCCGATTGGTGTTTTTTTTTTGCACTAAAAACAAAAAAAAGCAAAAAATTAAAAAAAAAAAGAGTTTTTCTTTGTTTCTATTATAAAATATTGCAGACAGGTAATTGTTTTCCTTAACTGATGTGCATTGATGAGGCTACACCTATAGGCAGCACTGAAGGGCACTGAAAGATGGCACTGATGGGCACTGATAGGCAGCACTGATAGGCGGCACTGATGAGCTGGCACTGATGATGTTACACTGATATGCAGCAATGATGGGCACTAAGTAAAAAAAGAAAAACATGCGCTACACCCCCAAAAAAAAAAAAACATATGAAAAGTGAGTATACTGTACACTAAACAATCAGATACAATGACCAAACACAATATATCCACAAAATGATGATATGACAAAAAGTATATTACTAAAGTGCTATAAAAAGTCCAAATTCATATAGTGAATAAATAAAAAAGTCCCAAATCCAGTGACACAGTGATGTGTGCTGAAAAATCTTCCAACAAAAGTGTATAGGTGTCCACAAATGCTTGACACAACAGAAAAAAGCCTCTTACCAGACACATTGATTTCCAATCAAGAGATCAAATGAGCAGACGGTGTTCAGATCCATCACTGACACCCATGTTAGCAGTATCAAGGAGATGAAGGGCCAACTGCAGGTTCACCTGGACCAATTCATCACATCAAACAGCTCTCCACGCCATGTAAGGAAAGGTTTAAAACAGAAGAAGAAAACTTCATAGTGCAACTCAATAAACCAGCAAAAGTGTTATTAAAGTATTGCACTTACATGGATAAGGTGCATAAGGGCAATGTACAAATTTAAAATTCCAGCGGTGTCAGACCACCCAACGGAATGTGGTGATGTCACAGAAAGCTCCGTCTGATATGTTTCTCTAAAAATGGCATCCTCTGAGATTGTTGAAATGGTGTTGTTTTGTTTTTTATTTCGGCAAGTTGGCATCATCATGACAACGCTGTACGCGATGACTGATGATGGATTACAACGATGGAACCATTTTTGGGGCTTTTTTTTAAAATAAAGGACTTGTCAAAAACCTTTGTTTTGTTTTTTTTTGTTCAATAAAGGATTTTTTCAAAAGACTGGTCTCTTTATTTTTTACTCAATTTAACCCGTTAATGAATGGTAGTACAAGTACCCCTTACTCATTCACAAAGGGAGTAAGCATCAGGGTGCCCCCTTATTTAAAGGGGTACTTGATGCTAATAAGCCCCCCTGCCCACAGACCCCCCACAACCACCAGACAAGGGTTGTGAGGAAGAGGCCCTTGTCCCTATTGGCATGGGGATGGTGGCCTGGTAATCCGCAGGGAGGGGGGTGCTCGTTTTTCCCTGCCAGTCCTGTGCTTACACTGTGTGTTGAAAAAATGGGCCTTGGGTGTTGGTGGTGACTGGACACTGTAACCCCTCACAGTTACTCTTGCTGGGCACAGAAATGGGCCCTGCTGTTACAAATTGTTAAAAATTTGAAAAATATTGTAAACAATTGAAATTAGATGTACCTGTCAAACAGGTGCAGAAAATTTGGGCCTTGGGTGTTGGTGGTGCCTGTGTTGACCAAATCTATATATTATGAAATATAATATTTCTCTGATATGATTTGGTTAACGTTAATGAGAGTTCTTTGACCAAGAGTGAAAGGTTTAACACAACAACCAAAATTTATTAGTGAATAGTAGGGAGGTCTAAACTAACATACCACAATCTATCTATTTTAAAACAATAAGAAAAAGGAAAAGAAAAACAAAATGTAAAAGATTAAAACAATGAATTAGAATATAATACTCATACCCTGAACCCACAAACAGCAAGACAGACAACACATACGACAAGCATGTATACATGTAAAGTGCCAGAGAGATATCCTGATATTTACCAATGGTGTAGCATGGGGGCCCCCAGGATTGTTGGATTTTCTCTGCTGTCTTCCCCCAAAATCTACCCTGATATACATCTATCTCTCATAGACTTGCATGGGGCCATCCTGATTGGTAGAATTATCTAATCCATCTCCCATATCTGACGCATCTCATCCAGGATTGAACAATTTCCACATCCCATATCGCTTGCATAACTCAGCCCCTTCCCAGAGCCTCCCCTTTTGGTGATAAAATTGCATATGCCAGGTCATTGCACCAGGGTGTCTGGGTTGAGGCTCTCTTATCCTTTGTTTGGAGGGTACATTAGTTATGTAAGGTCATAGCCTGGGAAAACTGTGCATTCCTGGATGGACAGATGGCCATCCCCATTGCATATCTAAAGAGAGGGTACTTTGAAGTGGCCCTCGTAAAAACAAAGAGAATTAAATGGCCCGGTCTAGATAGTTATGTTGGTCCCATAAAGTCTGAGATAAGGTAGTTAATTTAGTGATTGTCCCTTTTCGCATAATAGAGCATTTCCTGTGGCACACACATTTAGCACATCAAACATTCCTCCACTACAAAGCTACAGTATCTAGTAGATTAATTCCTAAAACTTGACCCTTTGTACCCATGTCTATGTACAGTACACCTATATCAAACCAAGCTCTGATATTTCTAACTTTGTAACTTGGTTAACGTATAGTTGTAAAAATATCTATTTACAGTTTCTGATGAAGATTATACATAAACCCCTCATAAGTTAACACCTGAACACTGTAAACCCTCAGTTACTCTTGCTGGGTGCAGGAATGGGTCTTGCTGTTACAAAAGTGTTACAAATTAGAAAAAAATTGTAAAAAATTTTATTTAGATGTACCTGTCAAACAGGTGCAGAACAATTGGGCCTTGGGTGTTGGTAGTGCACTAAACTAAAAACATTGTTGGAAGCTAGCATAATCAGGTTTCAGGAATAGGATAGGCAGCACAGGCAGTCTTCAAGGGATCCCAGATCACTCACAAATTTAATGTGTTACATAATCATCAGGGTCTTGATCGCTGCTGTTGATCCGGGACTGATTCATTTTGACAAATATCAGCTGGTCAACGGAGTTTGTGGACAGATGCGCTCCTTTATCTATCACAAAACCTCCAGCAGCACTGAATATCCTTTCTGGATGCAGGACAGGCCAGTAGCTTGATTGCATATTGAGCAAGTTCTGGCCAGTGAACCATCCTCAAGACCCAGTAACCCATGGATCCTCAATTGGAAAGGTCTCCAAGTCTGCTCTTGCCCTTAGATAACCCTGCATCATATGATGCAGACATTGCCGATGGGTGGTTAAACCTAAGAACACTGGGTGCTGAGGACTAAAGAATTGTTTAAAATCATCAGTAAGCTGGCCTCCTTCTCCACCGCCCTTTCTTTGACCAAATGAAGCCTCAGAAACATGTTGTCCAAGAAATGGTAACCTCCCAGTGTCTGGAAAGGTGTTACATACATTTTTCTTCAAGGCATCCTCAAGAGTTTCATCCTTTGCTCCCTCTGCGAAGACAGGATGAGCTCTGCAACTTTGCCATTGTAACGTGGATCAAGAAGGGTTGCCAAGCAGTATTGATCCTTCTCCTTGATACCACGAATCTTTGGGTCCTTTCTCAGGCTTTGCAGAACCAGGGAGCCCATGCAGTGTAAGTTTGGAAAGGCATAAGATTCTGGGTCCTCTGGGTCACTGAGGATGACACTGTCAGGAACTATCTCCTCCCAGCCACATACTACTTTTGACTTTGTTTCAGGGGACTGAAAACCATCCCTTGAAGACTGCCATTTATTATCCTCTACTTCCATGCAGCCACAATCTTCCTCCTCCTCTTCCTCCTGTCTATTCTGTGGCCCCGCAGGAATGGTATCTGCATAAAGGGAGCCTTGAGAGGTAAGGAAGGCCTCCTCTTTCTCCCGCTGTTCTACTTCAAGTGCCCTGTCCATGATTCCATGCAGCATGCACTCCAGCAGGAAGACTAGAGGGATAGTGTCACTG